TTTTCTTATAAAATTTTGCAAATAAATAATCTTTCATCATAAATCTTGGCCAAAATGTATTTTAGTAAAAAAAAAATAAGCCACATTAGTTTATAACCGCATATTATAATTTTTAAACTTTTTTTACATTTTTTTTTAATTTTTTTTTATATTATTTTTTTTTTTTTTTTTTTTTTTTACACATACTGTCACCCTAGCAGTGCAGTGTCACCATGGTGACACTGTACTACTTGTAGGGGGTGATGAAGATTTTTTTTTTTTACAGTGACTGCTTTTACATCCTATATGGGTGTAAAAGCAATCATTTCTCCCTCTCTCTGTTTGCATTCTTGCAGCCATTGAGAAATACTGTATGAGATGTGATTGGTCACAGCTTGTTACATGGTACAAGGCTGTTGTGAATAGCCTTGTACCATGTGACCTCTGTGATCATTCACAGATTTCACACGTACTAAGCAATGATGTCACAAGTGACATCTTGCTTCTTTGCATGTGATCACTGATTGGCCAATCAGTGATCACATGATCGGGATCCGTCCGACGATCGGTGTTTTACTGTGTCCGGAGGACACAGCGGGCACCGGATCACGGTGCTGCTCGCTCCCAGCTAGAAATGGCGGGTGCCGTTTATGAAAGGCAACCCGCCCCTGGAGTGCCACCGTCCTGCCGTTTATAAACAGCAGGTGGCGGGCAAGTGGTTAAGGTCCCTGGAGAGGACAAGCGGCCACGATTTAAGGTTAGAAGAAGGGAGGTTTTAACCCTAGATTGCAGAGTTTTTTTTTTTTTCGGTTTTTTTTTTTCGGTTTTTTTTTTTTTTTTTTTCCTTTTTACTTTTGGAGCAGTTAAAATGTGAAAGACCATCCCCCAAAAAGCAGCATTAGCTGAGAGTGTCGACAACTCAAAAAACGTTTAGGTGTCTTCTTCAGGGAGCAGAATATATAGGGCAATGGGAATTGTTGGAGAATAAGAATCACATACGCACATAGATTGAATTGGATGGACCTGTGTCTTTAAACCATATAACTAAAATATGTAACCGTGTCTGTCAACACTCAGCCCTGGCATACAGTATGGAGCTGTAACACTAAAGCTGACCATAAATGAGTACTTTTTTTTTTTTTTTTTTTTTATATCCATTCAGCCACTGGGCAGGTGGACGGAGGAATCTCCCCCGCTGGGGACATCAACTGGTACTGTTAGAATACACTGATCAGGGGCTGCAGCCATAGATCAAGAAAAGTTTTCCCTTGAAAAAAGTCCATTATAAACTATTGACTTCTGTCAAGCTGGGGCAGCCACACACTGAAAATGCTGCTCCCTGCTGAACTGGGTGAATTTTGATCCTTTTATAGCCTTTAAAATTAAGCTCAGGTCAGCAGCAGGCTCACCCCTTTCCTACAGACAGGAATTTTCATTAATTATTTTAGAAAACTAAAGGGTGCAGGAATATGTGTTGTGTAGGACACAGTTTTGCTTTTCCTCTGTATCTTACATAGGTACATAGTTGTTAAGGTTAAATAAATACATCGGTCCATCCAGTTCAGCCTAAGAGAGAGAGATTGTGTGTGTGACGCACACACTACTGTTTTCCATATCTCTGTACAATGTGTTTGCTAATAAACACACCTAAAGGCCTTTTTTTTAACGCACTTACACTCACAACCACTTACGCATTTGATTAAACCATTTTTTGTCTAACCTCATTGTGTGACCACTTTTCTTTAAAAGGTTCCCTACCGATGCTAGTCACTATTCATTTTATATCTCTATCATATCCCTTCTTAAGCATCACTTCTCCAAGGAGAATAAGTTACATTTTTATAGTTGTTCCTCATAACTGAGGTCCTCCAGTCCCCCTTGTTGGCTTCGTTGCCCTTCACTGGACTCTGTCCAGTTCAAGTGCATTGTTCTTGAGGACTGGTGACCAGAATTGGACAGCATAGTCAAGATGCAGCCGAACCAGGGTTTTCGTAAAGTGATAAAATTGTAGTTCTATATCTTGAGTAAATACCCTTTTTAATGCATGCTAATAGTCTGCTGGCCTTGCTTACTGCAGCTTGGTATTGTATGCTATTGCTGAGTCTGTGATCTTCTATGACCCCCAGATACTTTTCCATCCTTGATTCCTCCAGAGGTTCACCCCTAGCATGTAATTTGCTTGTAATTTTTTTTTTTTTTTTTTTTTTAACCTCTCAAGTGTAGTACTTTATATTTTCTTACATTGAACCTCATCTGCGATATAGCTGCCACCCCTCTGCTTTATCTAGCTCTTTATGTATCCTGTTGTGAAGTTATAGCCCTGTTTCGGTTTGTACCATCAGCAAACACTGAGATCGAACCATTTATTCCAACCTCTATATCATTTATGAACAATTTAAAACAGAATTGGGCCCAGGACAGAGCACTGGGGCATTCCACTCACAACTTTAGACCATTCAGAAAATATGCCATTATTCACCACCCTCTGGACTCACTCACTCCTGCGACCAGTTTTCTATCCAGGTAAACGCAGTAATGTCATCAATGCCAAAAAAACTTAATTTGTAAGTTAATCATTTGTGGGGTACTGTATCAAATGCCTTTGTGAAATCTTGCTCCCAACACATACACCTAATTTACCTGTATCTATGCCAGCAGTGTGATGGCCCCTCCAATGCACAGAGCTCGGCAAGCAGTGATTACACAAGCAAACTATATGCATTAGCCAATCAGCAACTAGTCTGCTCACTGATGGACACATTCATATGCACTACAGTCTGCAGTGTATGTCCATTAACCCATCAGTGATCAGCCCTCACAGAATTAGTTACATAGTCTGGCTAAAAAAAGTTATAATCCTATACCCACAGTTGATCCAGGGGAAGGCAAAAAAAAAAACCCCAACAAAGCATGATCCAGTTTACTCCTGCAGGGGAAAACTTCCTTCCTGATCCTTTGAGAGGTGATCGGATATTCAATGGATCAAATTTACCTATAAATGTTAGTATCCAGTTATATCCAAGAAAGAATCCAGGCCTTTTTTAAAGCAATCCACTGAGTTGGCCAGAACTTGAAGGAGACTATTCCACATTTTCACAGCTCTCAATATGAAGAAACTTTTCTGTGTTTTGGAGATTACATTTCTTTTCCTCCAGATGTAAAGAGCGCCCCCTTGTCCTCTGTGATTAATAAGAATTATCCCTCATTCAACTATGAGCTTATGAGCATCGATCCCTCAGTGAGCCATCTGTAGTCTAAGTGAGTTAACCTCTTAGTCACGTGTTTACAGTGTGTGTGCATTAACCCCTCAGTGACCTGTTCCTAGTGCATATGGATTAAACCGTCAGCACCCAGCTGCGTGTACATGTGATAATCCCTAATACTCATTGAGTTCAACATGCCAGATATCAGTCTTGTCCCAATTGCCTTAGTTCAATCATTTTTGCTGCCCCTATCCTGCTCAAACGGTCCAATGCAACAAAGACCTGCCCTGTCTCCCACCTCTTTCCTAAATCCCTCAACTTGGTCCCTTCTAAAAACCTGCTTTAATTTTGGTGACTTCTTTTTGACCTCCATTGTCTGATTCTTTTGAAAGACTCCTCCAGTTTCACTGTTCTCTGCACTCTTTGCAGTCCATGGATCTATTGCCATACTCCCTGCCATCTCCAATGTCTTGGAAGAACCAATATCAGCAGGCCTGGTTCCTGGATATTGACCACCCGCTGTCATACCCTCGCACCTGCATTCCTGTCCTGCACACACTTTCTGCTGTTATACCCTTTTCATTCCTCTCCTGCACATTCTGCTCACTGTCATACCCTCCACACTACTTTCCTACACAGACTTACCCCTGTCATACCTGCATCACTCGTGCTCGTGCACATGCCTGCCCCTGGCATACCCTCTCCTCCACACTACTTTCCTACACAGACTTACCCCTGTCATACCTGCATCACTCCTCTCGTGCACATTCTGCTCGCTGTCATACCCTCCACACTACTTTCCTACACAGACTTACCCCATGTCATACCTGCATCATTCCTCTCCTGCACATTCTGCTCGCTGTCATACCCTCCACACTACTTTCCTACACAGACTTACCCCTGTCATTCCTTCATCACTCCTCTTGTGCACATGCCTGCTGTCATACCCTCCACTCCTACAAAGACTGCCTGCCGTCATACCCTCTGCACTCCTGTTCTGCACATACTGCCCACCATCATGATAAATGGTAACCCAGCACATTATAGAGTAGAATCTACCACAGCACACATACTGTGTATTGTAGTGCAATTGCTTGCTAATAAAGGGCTATGTGCATTTTTTAATTAGTCGTAGTATATTAGCATCCTATTCATAAGAGATTAAACAGAACCAATATTAGCACGCAATTTAATGCATGTGCGTCCAGCCTTACTACTTCAGTACTAAGGGGACACTACGAGACGATCTTCTGCATTTACGAAGGGAGGGTAAGTAGAACCAGATGTCATAAATTCTGCTTCTGACGAGGAATACCACAGTGGCGGTGTAGTATCTGGTGGTGAAGTTGAATCTGATGACAGAGTTGTCAGTATGCGAAAAGTACAGTCCATTACAGGGACAAGAAGTATAATGATACAACAAAGGATGGTGAAAATGGGATCTATACTTCCTTGCTTTTCCTCTTGGATACCATTACTGGTGGCCTTGGCTGTTATAATTCTTAAATTTTTTTCAGTCTGTTATAGTCCTGTCTGGTTCACGCCACTGTCATCCTTCGACAGGGTTAAATCTTATTTCTACGGAAATCTATATGTTTGCAAATGGAGATTGCTAACTGCGAAGTTATTTTCAGTGACAAATTCAATGGATTGATTATACTTGATAATACATAATACTTTTAGAAACATAATACTATGTATCTTTCAGACCTCAGATTTTGGTGCTACTCAACCTGGATTCGGAGCAGAATGTAAAACATCCCAGACTGCTTTCTCTAACTACTCAGCTTAAGGCTGGAAAAGGACTGGCCATTGTGGGTTCTGTGCTGAAAGGCACATTTCTGGATAAACATGTAGAAGCACAGAAAGGAGAAGAAGTATGTACATTCTGAGTAATTTTTATTTTTTTTTTTTTTTTTTATAAAATATTATAAACACATAAGGACCAGTTCACAAAAGGACAATGGGATGCACGGGGCATCGTTGCCCAACTCAACCACAATGCAATAACAAGGAAAATAGCATTGGTTTGAGGTGTCATTAAACCCATTTTCACATGTTTCGTCATACTCTATGTTCAGAGTACAACAGCCTTAAATCATGGGCCTTCTAGTGCAACAGTAGAATGATTTAAATACCTCTACACTGATCTTCCGTAAGTTTGTCACATGATCAATATGCAGCTACAGTGCAAGTAACTGCAATATACTGCATGGGTGGCGCCTTTTCCCAGCATGCACTTCATGCAGGGTCACTCCAGCCACAAAACTGACAGCGGATTTCTTCCTCTTCTCTCCCCCTGTGACCCAGACCACCTGACACAGGCGATCATGTGACCATTACTTAAATTATTTAAAAAAAAAAATGATCTAATTGAAAATAAAATAATTTTTAAAAAGATCATGGAATGAATGCACCATTTACTTGAAACATACAATAAATGTTATGATTTCTTGTTGATTGATTGCAAAGCGGACTTTATGTGGATTGACTTCTTCTACTGCTTCACCATCAATCAACAACTCCTCCCTAAGCATAGAAATGATAATGGTTATTATGTGTTATAAGTAAACCGTGCCATTGTATATAAGCAAGCACGCATTCCATATTTTTTAATATTCCATTTCCATTTAGATTGTTCGGTTTTTTTTTTTTTTATTTTGTTTTTTATATATTGTGCCTGCGTGGGTTTCCTCCGGGTACTCTGGTTTCCTTCCACACTCCAAAGACATGCTGGTAAGTTAATTGGCTCCTGTCTAAATTGGCCCAAGTATATGTATGTATGAATGTGAGTTAGGGACCTTAGATTTGTACACCCCTTGAGGGTTAGGGACTGATGTGAATGTACAATATATATGTAAAGTGCTGTGTAAATTGACGGCGCTATATAAGTACCTGAAATAAATAAATAAATATTGATGTTATTGCCCATGTCATATGGGCTGGATCACAAGATGGAAGAGAAGAGGAAATAATTCACTGTCAGTCTTGTGGCTGAAGCTGCCCCACATGACATGCAAAAGTATCAAGTGGGGTCGCGGTGGATTGATGGAGAGGAAAGTGGATGTCTCTGTTTCTCTATACGGAAAATGGAGCATGCACAGTGAGAGTGGCAATGTAAAATACTGCGGATTGGCCATTCCATACAAGGAAGTTGTATGAACTGGCAGCATCACCAGGTATTTACTAACTAATAGCTTGCATTTTAACCACTTGCCTACCAGGCACTTATACCCCCTTCCTTACCAGGCCAATTTTCAGCTTTCAGCGCTGCCGCACTTTGATTGACAATTGCGCGGTCATGCAACATTGTACCCATATGAAATTTTGATCATTTTTTTCTCACAAATCGAGCTTTCTTTTGGTGGTATTTAATCGCCACTGGGCGCTTTACTTTTTGCGCTATAAATTAAAAAAAGTGCAAAAAATTTGGAAAAAAAAAAAAAAGTTTATTTGTTTCTTTTATAAAATTTTTCACAGGTATTTTTTCTCCTTCACTGATTTGCGTTGATGAGGCGGCACTGATGGGCACTGATAGGCGGCACTGATGGGCACTGATAGGCAGCACTAAAGGGCACTGATAGGCAGTACTAATGAGGTGGCACGGATAGGCGGCACTGATAGACAGCACTAATTAGGGGTCACGGATAGGCGGCACTGATATGCAGCACTGATAGGCGGCACTGATAGGTGACACTGATGATGGGTACTGATAGACGGCACTGACTGGCATCACTTCTGGGCACTGACTGGTGGCACTGACTGGCACAACCCCTGGGCACTGACTGGTGGCACTGACTGGCAGCACTGGTGGGTGGCACTGGTGGGTGGCACTGGTGGACAGCACTGGTCGGTGGGCACAGGTGGGTGGCACTGGTGGGCACAGGTGGGTGGCGCTGGTGGGCACATGTAGGTGGCACTGCTGGGCACATGTAGGTGGCACTGCTGGGCACAGGTAGGTGGCACTGCAGAGTGGCACAGGTGGGGGCACTGCTGGGCACAGGTGGGGGCACTGCTGGGCACAGGTGGGGGCACTGCTGGGAATGGGTGGGCGGGGCTAGTGGGCGCACAGCTGATCGGAACTTGCGGGGGTCACTGCTGGGCACCGATCATCAGGGCACTGATCATCAGTGCCCTGATGATCGGTGCCGATCCCCGCTCTGACAACTGCCGGTTCTCGGCAGTACTTTCCTCACGATCTGACAGCGTGAGGAAAGTGCAGCCGAGAACCGGCACTTGCATTTTCCTGTGATCAGCGTGTCATTGGACACCGCTGATCACGTGGTAAAAGGCCGGTGGGATCGGCCTTTCACCACATCTCGTGATCAGCTGTGTCCGTAGGACACAGCGATCACGGAGATCGCCGGGTGCGCGCCCCCTGGGGCGCGCAGGAGAGCGCGTTCTGGGAGGACGTCATATGACGTCCACTCAGAACTGGCCGGCCGCGGTGAAGCCGTCATTCGGCTATGCGCGGTCGGCAAGTGGTTAAATAAATGTCCTACGCACAGTTACATGAAATATTTTTGGAGCTAATGCTGAAAGTTTGATTTTGGGTTTAATGACACTTTAAATTTGCGTTGTTCACACCTACTGTATGAGCTGCTTTGCCTAGTGTTGTGTAAAAATGTTACATGCATTATTTTGTACAACGCAACTCTGTAGCACAGCTATTCAGCGCATATCACAACAACACAACACATGTGCATGTGACTGTGCAGTGCAAATACAGTTTTAAAAAAGTGTTAAGCATGTTTACAATTAAAGTGTTTCCCCTTCTTGCTGCCATATCTCTGAGTCTACATGATGTCTCATAAGTGCGCAATAACGCAGCTCAAGAAAAATGCTGTGACGCGCTGGTCAATAAAGGGGCGCATTTGTGCTCTTTGGAGAAAGAGGGTGGGGACTGGCGAGTGCAGGGAATGTGTGTTCAGGGAGTTGGTGGGACTGTCAGAACAGTAGAGAGAGCCATATTCAAACAGAAGTGTTGTGAAGTGTCAGGGAAGACTTGAGGCATGATTTCCAAAGGGAAAAAGAAAATGTGTTGCGAAACTAAATCCCGCCCCTAAATCTGACCGCTTTGGGCGTGGCCTAGTGGACGTGACGTCGGGATGTTCCTCCTAGCTGTCAGCTGTGAGATCGCGGTGCAGGAGGTTCGTCCCTTGGTTTTTCCCTCGTGGATGTGTTATTATAGAGGCTGTCATTGCTGGTGTTGGATAGACACCTTCTTTGTGAGTGTTCTACTTTACTAATAAAATTTTACTGGTTTTAAACGTACTGCACCATCATATCTCTTCTGATTCCTCGAGCTTTGCCCATGTTATTGGAAGATCTTTTGCTGCTTAGCTGTTCCATATGTGCTGATTGGATCACTATTGGTTGCTGTTTCTCTACTGGGATATCCTGCAGATCATCGCTCCCAGAGCAAAATGTTATGCTGGTTTTATAATTTAATCAGCATATAGCTCTGGTGAGTGTATTCATTTCATCTGGTGTCGGATTCGTACATGGATGTTTGTTTCAAGATTGACATTAAGTTGATATCGGATTATCACTGTTTATGGTGGCTGGACTTATGTTTATATTTATGGATTTTATTTGTATTTCTATTATTTATCCTTACATTGTTTGTGAATAATTAGCGCACTTTTTATTTATACAGAAAATTAAACCTGTAACTGGGCTTTTACATTGAGAATTCATTCATTTCATTTGGTCTTGGCTTTTTATCTATTTTTTGTTTGCATCCTGTCTCCTTGTCGGAGGGTGCCCTCGGAAGTGTACCGACACCCGATTTTAGTTTTCATTTGGGTTGTTCCTACTGTCTCACGCTGTAGTGATCTCTTACTGCTCCGGTCTTCAATAACATGGCCGCCGGAGGTTCGCTCCATGCAAATTGTTTCATTGACTCCTTTTAAATGGAATCCTGTCACCACTGCCGTTACCCTGAAGAACTCACATGATACGTGACGCAATGCGTAGGACGGAAGCGTGGTGACATCAGTTGCGGTGTGGATGGCAGCCGCCATATTGCTACATCCATGCAAGTACACCCAAATCATTACGTGCTGCTTTTGAGCTTGTTTTCCATTGATTTGATGTAAGTTGGCATTTGGCAATATGCATTAATACATTGTATTAAATACTACACTATGGAAGTGTTCCTTTTTGGATCCTTTTGAGTTGGCTGTGCGTTGCATGTTTTTTCCGTGAGGAGGATACCACCACTGTTGCTGACGGTTGATGCTCCAGGATTAGAGCACAAAGGCCCCATTGCTGATCTGTCTGGCGTTTAGCGCCCCGAAAGCGTGTTGGCCCCTTGGGGTCACAACATGGAGGTGAGAAGGCAATTTAGCCTGTGATTGATTGCTTGTCGTACTGATCACTATCACCGATCACGTTTACTTGGAAGTTTTATCATTGGACTTTACATGCATTTTTGTAGTGTGGACAATTGCACTATTTTTTTTTATTTATTCACTACCCGTGACAATACTTATGCCATTCTATTACATGTTTTTTTTGTGTTTCTTATTTGCAATATTTACTATATTTTTCTCACCGTTCATTGTGATACGTTCGCTATTTCACATTCAGTTCCTTTTTGGGATTTATTCACTTTACCTTTAGCCGTATTTATTATTGGGACATTTTATTTGTATTTTTCACCATACTTTTTTTAGCCTCACTTTTATAGTGCACTTAGAGTTGAGGGTGTTTTTTCCTTAGGTGGTGCACTCTTTTGATATCCATGTTTTTGTGTCACCATTTCATATTCCTATTTATGCTGTGGTATGTTTGTGCTCACTTCTTTTTGATTTGTCTTGACATTTATGTCATCCACTTTGTTTTTTTTCCACCATTAGACATCACCTTTGGGCTCTCCTGTCATTTGTTTCATTGTTCATTATTATATTTTATTCATTTGACCCTTTTATCACTTGGTTTTTCCTTTTTAGTTTCCTGGCACACATTCAGAGTCCATTACGTGCTTATTTGCATCCATTTCACATCTGTTATATGCACTAGTTGCATTATGGTGTTTATATAGACTTACACATGCGGTATGTTTTTTGTGGTCATCCACTATCTCTAGTTCATTTTGAACTAGAGCAGTAGCGCAGTACCATTCCCCCTTCCTCTGCATTTTCTCTATTTTGGTATATAGCTGGCTGCTTGCTGCTCTTTGTTTAGTGGTAGCGCAGGAGTTTTGTCCCCCATTTTTAAGTCCAAAAAGACTTGCAGCTGTATTGCAGTGAAAGGTGTTTCTACAAAGTATTGAATAGGGGGGGCTAAATACAAATGCACACCACATTTTTCAAATATTTATTTGTTAAAAATGTTGAAAACCATTTATCATTTTCCTTCCACTTCACAATCATGTACCACTTTTGTGTTGGTCTATCACGTAAAATTCCAATAAAATACACGTTTGGTTGTAACATGACAAAATGCGGAAAATTTAAATGGGTATGAATACTTTTTCAAGGCACTGAATGTTGCGTTACAGGTGTGTGCAAATGCTACACATAACTTTTTTTTTTTTTTTACAGTATTGAGAAATATATGAATATTTCTATACCAGGGATGGGCAACCTTTTGAGCACAGTGTGCCGAACAATGTTTTTAAAGTAATGGAGAATGCCAACTACATTTAAAAAAAAAAAAAAAAAAAAAAAAAAAATGGCAACTTCACACTTTCAATCATGAAAAGGAATTTTTAGGCTACATGCACACTAGACTCTGAAAATACGCTAAAAAATGCTGGATAAAAAAATGGTAATATTTACCATTTGCTGGTGTTTTTGCACTGTTCAGGAGCGTTTGCAAAAGTGTTTAGGAGCTCTAGCGTTCAATAAAGGAGTGGACGACTGATGGCGTCCTTATTTACCAGTGAATAGGTGGTTATCAAGGAGCAGGTTGGCAAACTGGTCGTCACATCCTTAACAACATATGATTCCCTGCGGGCTTCCCTGCTGACAGCTGAATGTAAACAAAATAATTGCCAGCAATGGCAACTGCAGGAAAAACACAGCGTAGTGTTCCCCCCCCCCCCTCCCAGTTCATGCCAGGCTCTTTGGGTCTATGGCTCTATGGTTTTAAGGGGAACCCCATGCCAAAATGAAAAAAAAAAAACTGTAGGCGGTCCACCCCCAAAATTCATACCAGGCCCTTATCTAACATGCAACCTAGCAGGCCAGGAAAGGGGGGGGGGGAAGTGAGCGCCCCCACCTCCTGAACCATACCAGGCCACATGCCCTCAACATGTGGGGGGTGCTAAGGGGGGTCCCCACCTAAAGCACCTTGTCCCCATGTTAATGAGGACAAGGGCCTCTTCCCCACAACCCTGGCTCGGTTGTTGTGGGGGGTGACATCAGAACTTGGAAGCCCCATTTAACAAGGGGGTCCCCAGATCTCCCCCTCCCCCCCATTCGCCCAACAAGTGAGTAAAAACACAAGAACAATTTTTGACAAGCCCTTTATTACAAAAAAAAAAAAGTGTCCCTCTGTGTAGATCCTATGTCAGTCACGATAAACGCTGGCCGCCGACCCGAAAAAAACAGAAAACTATCCCCACCCGATGCTCGCTCCTGTCTGAATTCTGATGTCATGGGTGGCCCCGCCCCTTAGTTTATTTGGTGGCGGAGCTGTCAGACAGCAGGAGCCAGCATTGTTTTCGGTTTTTGTTGTTTTTGTTTTAAATAAAGGACTTGTCATAAACTGTCATTTATTTTTTACACTTTTCTGGTGAATGAGTAGGGATTTGATGTATCCCATACTCATACACGTGGGGAGAAGCCAGGATCTGGGGGGTTCCCTGTAAAATCTACACCAGACCCAAAAGGCCTGGTATGGATTGGGGGGACCCCTGCTCTGTTTTATTTCTCAAATTATTTTGTTTACACTTGGCTCTTGGCAAGGAACCCCACTGCCAGCTGATGAGTCATCCAAAGTTAAGGATGCGGCCTGCTTGCTGGCCTGCTCCTTGACAATTAGCAATTAATTGTCTGTTAAGAACACTGGCGGCTGCCGCTAAGAACAAACAAAAAACAGTGGAAAACAGCTCTTTAGGGGTGTTCATTTTGTTTTTTTTGCCAGCAAATCGCTCCCAGTAGCGCAAAAAAGTGTTTTCTTCTCTTAGAAGCTTAAGCTTGAAAAACGCTTCTAGCCTACAATAGTATGCATGTAAATACATTGGATAACACCATTTGCTTCTATGGGCAGAAAAAAAAAACGCTCATAAAAAGCTGCTAGGAGCTTAAAAATAAGCTAGTGTACATGGAGCTTGAAAAAGTAAATACTGTAAATAACTTGAATAATAGTAGAAATAAAGATTGTACTTTGTAACTTCACATCTCAGATCACCCCAAATCTACACCTTCACACCTCGGACCACTCCAATTCCCGCACCTTCACAGCTTAGATCAGTCCCAATTCCTGTCCTTTCATGGCTCAGATCACCTTAATTTTTTGCACCTTCACACCTCAGATCAGCCCCAGTTTCTTTACCGTCACACCTCAGATCAGATCCAATTTCTGCACTTTCAGATCTCAAATAAGCTTAATTCCTGCACTTTCACACCTCAGATCACTTCAATTCCTCCACCTTCATACTTCAGATTGCACCAGTTTCTGCAGCTTCAAATCTCAAATAGGCCCCAATTTCTGCCTCAGGTCAGCCCAATTCCTGCATCACCACGTTTCAGATCTCTCCAATACCTGCATCTTCACACTTCAGATCACCCCAATTCATACAACTTCACACCTGAGATGACCCTAATTCCTGTACCATCACACCTCAGATCTCCCCAATTCCTGCACCTTCACACCTCAGATCACCCCCAATTTCTGCACCATCACACCTCAGATCAGGTCAAATTCCTGCACCTTCACACCTCAGATCAACCCCAATTCCTGCATCTTCACACCTCACATCAACCCCAATTCCTGCATCTTCACACCTCACATCAACCCCAATTCCTGCATCTTCACACCTCACATCAACCCCAATTTCTCCACCTGGAAATTTAGCAGCTCCCAATAGCTAACATGGTCCAGCAGTGCAGGGGACAGCAGGGCATAGAATCGTGTTCAACAGGGCAGAGAACTGAGGTCAGTAGGGCAGAGAATATTGTTAGAAGATGTAGGTCAGTGGGGCAGAGTACAGGGTAAATGGGGCAGAGGACAGAAGGGCAGTGTACAGGGGTCAGAGGACAAAGGTCAGTGGGACAGAGGTCAGAGGGGCAGAAGACGAAGTGGGGCAGAGGATGTTGTTAGAAGACAGAGGTCAGTTTGGCAGAGAGTAGGGGTTAGTGCTGGCAGGGAACACAGCGAACCACCTCCTCCCCACCCAGCACATAGCTGAGACCAGAGTCTTTTACAGATACTATCTCCATCTGCACAGTGTGTAGCTGCCTACCTCAGCTTTGCCGCTGTTCTAATCTGGAGACTTCACAGGTCAGAGAAGCAACATAGCAGGCAGCTACTGTATATACTGTGCAGATGGATATTGTATTTGTAAAGGAATGTGATTTCAGCTGTGTGCTGTGTTTGAGGGCGAAGTCTACTGAGTGCCCTGTGCAGGGATAGGAGTAGCATGCATTGGAAGGGGCGCAACATGCCCCTTATCCAGCTGAACACCAGCAACTATGTAGGCTAAATGCATGCAAGCCGAATGAGGTGGGTAGGAACAGAGGCAGAAAATAGGCAACCAGGCTCCTTCCTGTGTAGCCAGTCGCAAGCATTGGGCAGCTGGCTTTGTTGATGTGTTGGTTGTCTCTGGGAATGGAGATGGGCAGGACCAGAGGCAGTAAAAAGGCAGCTGGGCACCTTCTTGTGTAGCCAGCCACAAGCATTGGGGTGCTATCTTTGCTGATTTGTCGGGTGTCCCTAGCCTTCGCATTGCCATCATAAATGCAGTCCGTGCCGGGGTTTGCCGACCCCTGATCTATACACATTATGGTTGTAACTTTTATTACAGTTCACATTGTGTTTTAGGGAAATTAATGATCTCCTATTCATTTCTTTAAGAATATCCAAGCATTAATGACTGCTGAGAAGACCAAAGGATTCTGTCAGCTAGTTGTTTCATCAAATCTACGTGATGGCATTTCACATTTGATTCAGTCAGCTGGGCTCGGTGGCATGAAACATAACACTGTTTTAATGGCTTGGCCACAAAGATGGAAACAGCCTAACATTCCCTACAGCTGGAAAAATTTTGTTGGTGAGTATATTTTGCTGTAAGACAATTTTTGTCCATTTCCAGTATTGTGGAGAAATATATAATCGCAAAATGTTGTGTGATCTTTAGAGCAGGTGTTATTTCTTCAATGCGGGAGGGTGCAGGCAGCCAGGAAACCTATTCCACTGTTTTACCCATATCCGGTAATTTAGAGACTGCTTGGATATACTGCCATTTACAGAAGGATTAGACACTGGGAAGAAAAAAAGTATGGGCTATATCAGTAAAACTTTTTATTCTCTGCAAGACCTCATTTTTTTTTTTTGCCAGTTAAGAATATGAACACCATTTACCTGATCTGCTGACAAAAGCCTAATTTGTTTGTTACATTTTCAAGCTTTTTCTACATTCAAGATTCCTGCTACTTTGCTGCTGAACCGGTCTCTATATGCAGCCTTTCCTCATCCCGACTTAGGGGTGCCGAGCCAGAACCTGGCCGGGTTGCAGGACTAGCCTGGCATGTAACCTTTGGCTCTAAATTGTGGCACTTTTCCGACCTGCGTATACTGAAAAAATTGGCCGTGGCATAGCCCCAGTCGGGTCATGCACCAAGGGCTTCCTTGTTAGGACTGCTTATTGCCCTTTTCAGCTCCCACCTTTTGCCAGTTTCACAGTGGAAGAGGTTAACAATAAGGGATAGAGTGCTGATGTGAAGTGTCTCGTGTGTGCTCCTTGCTCTCTTTCCCACTGTCCAGCATTGAGGAAGCCTCTTCCACTGACAGCAAGTGGCACATGGATCTCTACTTGGTTTTTCTCTGCTGCCTACCTATGGTGATTTCGGCCTACAGTGACGTTTGCCACCTAGAATATAAGGCTAGGCATTGGAATACTCAATAACTAGCATTCTAGTTAATGAGTATTCCAATGCCTAGCCTTATATTCTCAGCTACATTATCCCTATCTTGCGGTACATGTTGAATCCAAGATACATAGGGGACACACCCGCTGTCCTGGGTATCTCCAGCTCAAGCAACCACTAATGATTCGGGTTCTGCCTACGGCATCCCCCCTAATGTGCCTAAAAATGATGGCCTGAAAATTTGCCCTCTTCTGGATTCTATGCCTTTTTTCAAATATTTACTGGCTCTGTCAGCTGTGGCCCCTCCTTTGCACTAGCCTGGGATGATTTCACTGTATTCAAGCATGATTTTTGGGCCAAATAACAAATTTTGATCTTGCATAGTTGGGTTGACAAAAAGACACCAAAAATTAATCTAGTTCAAAAAGTAGAAAAACAAACAGATGAAAAACTTCATTATACAGAATCCTATACCCACAGTTGATCTATATATGTATAAAATATAGGGATTCTATTCAAACTATCTTACAGTTCCTAAACCCAAAGGGGGTTTTCAGGCCCCTATTGAATCTCAAGGCTCTAAATGGGTTAATTTGAGTTCAGGAATTCTGTATGGACCCACCAGATCTGTCATTGCCTTCCTTTATCAGGGAGACTTTCTGGCCTCTGAGGATATGTTTGTCCCTATTTTTCCACCACTTCAGCCATTCCTTTTTTTTGTGGTGCCCCAGAACTTCCAGTTTGTGTCCCTGACATTCAGCCTACCTTCTGTGCCTAGGATATTCACCAAGGTGTTAACTCCTGAGACATTTTTACTGCACTCCCAGGAAGTCCCCATTGTGGGATAGCTGGATGACATCCTGGTTCCTGAACCTGACATCACTAGAACTGCCTCATGGAATATTATTTGGGAATATCTTAGTCTTATCCTAGACAAAGCTCAAGCCAAAATTTTTGTTCCTCAGGAGAAGCTTCAGATTTGCCCTGTTCAGGCTCTTTAGTTCAGAAGTTGTGTTACTCTTCATTTCTGCATGAGCGTTCTGAGGTGGATATTAGCCTCCTTCAAGGCAGCTCCATTTGCCCAGTTTTCTCAAGACCCCTACAATACAACCTTTTGGGACAAGGCAGTCCAGTTCTTGGTCAGACCAATTCATCATGCACCAAAGACCAGGTTGTTAGTGGCTCAGAAGTCCAACTCTGGAAACAGGGAAGCCCTTTCTTTCAAATTCTTCTGGGATCCTTGTGACAGACATCAGTGTGTGGGAGCTGGGGTGGAATCCTGGGCACATTGTCAGTGCATGGGATCTGGACACTGGAGGAATCTTGCATCTAGCATTCTGTAATTTTGAGTGATCTGCATGTCCCCACAATGCTGGTATTCCCAACTGAAATGTCTCCAATCCGGATTCAGTAAGACAGTCATGGCAGTGGCATGCATCAACCATCGGGGAAGGAAACCGAAGTCTCGCTTCAACAAAACTGAGTGTATACTGTCTTGTGCAGAACTTTCTATTACAGCTTTGTTTGTCTTCTACATCTTAGCCATGGACAATAGGCTGGCAGACTTCCTTAATAAGCAGTGCCTAGAGGGTTGTGGTCCCTACACCCAAAGGTGTTCCAGGACCTGTGTCACCGGTAGGGATCAGTGAAAATTGATCTCCTGGCTTCCAGGTTCAACATCAGTCTGGAGAGTTTTGCCTTCAGGTGCAGGGATCCTCGAGCAGAAGCAAATGATGCCGTGCTGGCTCTGTGGGATAAGAACAATCTGACTTATGCCTTTATTCCCCTTGAAACTCATTCCTTGGCTGCTTAAAACCATTGAGTTTGGGACATTCTGGTGATCCTCATAACTTTGGACTGGGTCAAGTAGATGTAATACTCATAGGATTACAAATGTGGACCTAATTAGATTTCTGTCAACCCCGCTCCATGGGCTCTTCTAAATCAGACAGATCTTCAGTCTCAAGAACCAGTTTACCACAGCATGGTTGTTAATGCAGGGTTCTGAGGGGCAGGGACATGCCTGAATCAGTGATGCGCACACCAAGGAAGTTTACCTACTGCAAGGTGTTTCGAAGTCAGAAACTTTCTTCCTAGGAAATTGAGAGACAAATCTTGGCCTTTTTTGCAAATACGCCTGGATCAGCATTAGTGCATCAAGTGATCTTTTTAGTTCTCAGCACTCCAAAAGCTGTTCTTTAACCCCTTCATACTGACAGTATGCAAATTAGCGGCCCCACTGCACTGGGCTATATGCTGTGGGGTCACTAATTTGCTTACCCGTCTTTGTGCTGGGAGCGTGCCATACAGCACGCTCCCAGCACAGAGACTGGGGTCTCACTGAGAGCTCTGAGTCCTGTTCTAACAATCGGTACCTGGAACTCCTGATTCCGGGTCACCTGATCGCTGTGATAGCCTCTGCTTGGCTATCACAATAATGAGTCACTGTCAAGCCTCTCCCTGTGTTTTCTCTCTCTGAATGGAGGAGAGAGATGCATTGTATCTCTCTGTCCTTTCAAAGCGAAAAAAAAATGTGTGTCAAATAAATAAATACATTTAAAAAATACCTAGATCAAGGTTTGATCTAGGTCAGTACCAAGGTTAGTGTTTGGGTCAAGGTCAGGGTCCATCTTTTTTTTAATTCTTTTAATATCAGTGTCAGGCAGGATAAAAAAAAGCAAAATGCACACTATTGTTTCTTAGCCATACTACAGGTACAAACCACAACTAACATACACATATGTGGTATTGCTGCAATCGTCTGGAGCAGAATTTATTTTGGGTTGTTCTTTGGTCGAGGGTTATGGTAGTAGCAAGAAATATACAGGTAATTAAAAAAAATATTTATTTTACTATTTTGGGACAGTTTATCTTTTAATAATAAAAAAGGAGATATCCATTACCATTTACCACCAAATGAAAGACCAATTTGTCCTGAAAAAAACAAGGTATAATCCACCAAGATGCACTAAGTAGTTGTGATGATATATACGGTTTTGTTAACACATGTCAAAGTTGCAAAATTGTGCTTAGGCGTTAAAAAAATTTTTACTCTTGGGCATGATGGGGTTAAGCCCATATTTCGCTTTTCACTCTCATTTACAAGTTTGAGGTTTTAGTTGCCATCAACTCCATGAGGTGAGCCTCTGAGCTGGTGGTCTTTCCTTGTAAAGAGTCCTTTCTGGTCTTACAAAGGGACAAGGTTTTTGTTGAGGCCCTGGATTGATATCCACCAGAGAGGACACTTGTTCTTGAGTCTTCAGGGTTTCAATAATGTGTAATATATCTGGTGGGGTTTTCTGTTTTCGAGCTGATGTACTCTGTTCCTTATTTGCTGAACCTTTTCCAAATCCCCAAATGGTTTTTGCCACTTGGTGAGAAACGTAATACCCCCGTAGGTTTTGGTACAGCCACTTGATCTCCAACTTGAAAGTTCCTTACTTTGACTGGTTGTGCACTCTTCCCTGTCCAGAGCATTCTGGAGATGTTCATTTACAAATGGCATCATGTTCCCCGTCCTATCTCATGTCTGAGAGATGTGTTCGATTACTGCAAGAAGTAATTCCAAATCTCCCCATCTTTCTGTACTGCCCTCTTAAAGCAGTATTAATCCCATAGCAAGTTTACGAAGTCTTAGATGTAATGCTGCATTCTTTTCCTTTTTTTAGGCTTTCTTTCCTTTATCTTCACCTGGTGATCCAACCATTAAGCCCCGGGTAACACTATAATTCGCCTATGAATCACACAGGAATGCGCAGCATATGCCTGTGCAATTCACATATACTTTATTGCAGTGTGAATTTTTTTTTTTTTTTAACCCATTTTGAAGAGGCTCAAATTGTGCTGCATTGCATCAAAAGTACTGCACGCACTACTTTTAGAAACACACTACAACAGAATCTCATGGTAGCTTTAAACCATGCATTTCGGTACAGGCAAAAGCACTGCATTTGCAACCTCATTAACATTGCACTGAATCCCCCTGCAGATTGCAAGGGTAGTGCTTTTTTTTAACAAGGTACGGGAAAGGTGCACAGGTGGCGGGTTTCCCACCCAGTCTGCTTTTTAACAGAACAAGCTCTCCTGCAAATGTTGCAGTTAGAGTGTTGAGACAAAACCATTGAGGGGGTGCTTAAAATTCTCAACTTTTATTTATGTAAAACCTTTTATCCCAACAGGAATA